TAGGAGATTTTCAAGTGAGTGATTTTGTGTAGTCGTGGCGATTTTGAGATCATATTCAAGGTACGTTCGTGTGCTTGGTAATTATTTAAGTGTATAGAAGCATGCTAGGTTTTGTTTGATTAATTCCAAGGTAGTATCATGATAGGTGTTGGTTGGAATTGTTGATTGGATTGGTGTTGGTGATAGATTTGTGAAGTATGAGTTATTTGTGGTGAATTGATGATTGAAATTAATTATATTAGCATGTTGAATATGAACTACACTTTTATCATTGGCATGATTAAGAGTATGTTTAATTAAACTAAATGTTTAATTTGGTTTGTAATATGAAAAGGGAATTTAATTGTAGTTCATTTAATTTCTATTGATGCTTTAAGCATGAGAATTGTGCTATTAAGTGTCTTAGTACACAGGGATAAATTATATTGCGGTGCCTATGTGCACTTAAGGTGTTCTAAACACCGAGGGATAGGATTTGCGGTGCCTTATGCACTTAAGGTGTTATTTAAAACCGAGGTAGTTTAAAAAGGATTCAATATTAAATTATGTGGTCACTAACTGTTTAAGAATTAAATTGATATGTTTGATTGCTTGAATGATTTATTAGAATTGATTGTGTTATGGTTTAAGATTCATCACCAAGTCTTAAAATATGTGAACAACGTAAAGTGAAAGAGATTACGCACCAAAACTCTTGGAACGTATATACCGTGAGTATGAACATATGGGGGGAGTTATGGGGTTTTATATTTAACCATGACTTCTACTGGGAGTACAGGACGCTGTATTTTCCTTTTTTATTTATTTTATGAACAAAATGTCCAGTCACTTCACGTGACATTTGCCTACCCGGTTAGCTCCCAGTGTAGTTTACCTCAATTTATTTGGGGCCCTATTGTGATGGAAGAAAGACATATGTAGGTTTTAGTGGGAAACCCGTTCGATGCGTAATCAAATTAAATAAGAAATTTAGTGGTCTATATACTTGTTGGTTGTGTTGTGTGCTTGAAAACAGGTGCAACAAGGTATGTTGTGTGTTGATAGAATTAAAGCATGTTATTGTGTATTGTTTATGCTTATGTACTCAACATTGCTTGTTGTGTGTTGTATGTTTGTTTGGCCTTATCTTGGCCTTACGAAGACCCATTTCTAATGGCGAATAGTGGGGACAAAGTAAAGAGGAGCTTTTCAAGTGTGGAAGCATATTCATGATGGACATGTGTGAAGAGCGAATCATGCTTAGTTTTCATAAGAATATGATGTGGTTTGTTGCTTTAATTATTATATATTTTGCTTGTGAGACTAATGCAAAGGTTTTTTTTTTAAATTAAGGGCCTATAATGGTGCCAAGTTGTAGGTTGACTTAACTTTCGTTTGATTTGGCTTTTTAAGTTGACTTGTTTGAATGGTTTTTAAAGAGAGTCTTCCGCTGTGCGTCTTTGATAATTACCTTAGCCGTTTTTACGATGGTGGTAATATCTTAGAATTTCCTATTTTGTATTCTAAAAGAGCAAAATAGGTATTTTAAAGGAAAGGAATTTCTAGGGTGTTACACTTTCTCTCTCTATCTCTTCAATAATTACCAACTACCTTTTCTTTCTCTCTATCTCTCTCTAACCCCATATACACATTTGTACTACCCAATCATGGGTTTTAAGGAGTCTCTAAGTTCCTTCATTCCCGTGAAAAAATGGAAAATAAGCATGTAGATAAGGGATAGAGGGAGTATATAAATTATACATCAAATATTGTACCACTGTTACCTATAATGGCTATAAATAGTACTACTAAAACAAACTACACTCTACTAGTATAAAATACATGTATAATAATACATTAAAAATACCACTGTGATGAGTGTCATTTATGGCACTCATAGGTTAGTGTTTTAGGTTGTTTCCCCCTTCTTTTTATAGCTTTGTTTCTTAATAATTACTTAGTTTTGTTCATTTGTTCTTTTGTTTCTTCATTCTTGCTTATTTTGTGTTTTCTTGAATTTTAGGGTTATTTTCGTCTTTTCTCCTTTACTTGCTTTTCTTTCCTTGATGTACGTGTTGTTCGGGGCTAAAGATTTATTTTAGAAGATTTTCCAAGTCTTTTTGATGCTCGGGACGAGATCTCATACCATCCGGATGCCTAAGGATCAAGTTAAGAAGCAAACTCCTACTCATGGCTTTGGCTCTCGTGCCACGCTCTCATCGCATCTATTGGTCATGAACACGCTAAAATGAAGATTTGAAGGCTACCCCCCTCGTGAGCATCATGTGAGAGCGTCGGTGAGGAGCATGCATGTGAGCGCAAGAACCTAAGCAATGGCCGAGGAGAGTCGTTGCTGCCAGATAATAAACATGGCAAATAGGTCATTCGGGTCGGGTCAGTTAACATTCGGGTCGGGTATGGGTCGAGTCGGGTCATTTCGGGTTTCGGGTATGGCTCCGGTCAGGTATCGGGTTGAGTTCGGGTCGGGTCATTTTCGGGTCAAGTATGTTCGGGTCGGGTCAAAATCAGGTCGGGTCATGTTCGGGTTGTTCCATTTAATTTGTGGATTTAGCTCAAATCAATAATTTTATATTTTAATATTGTTATAATAAGAACTATTAATTCGGTTTATGAGCATGGCTACAGTTGAAGATGAACAGTTTAAATTATTTTTGGCACCAAACATTTTTAGTTCAATTATAAGGTAATTTTAGTTCGGAACATTTCGAGTATTGGGTCTGTTCAGATCAATTTCGGGTATCGGGCTTGTTCGGGTCAAACAATTCGGGTCAACTTCGGGTCGTATTAATTCGGGTGTCGGGTCATGATCGGGTTTACTCTATTTTCGGGTCGGGTCAATTTCGGGTTTCGGGTCATTTTCAGGTTGTTGTATTTGGGTCAATTTTGGGTCATGGGTCGGGTCATCGGGTCTGGGTTAAGATTGCCAGGTCTACCAGATAATTGTCGTGCCACAGCAGGGGAGCCGTGCCATGGCAAAAGTCGCCGCGCAAAGGCAAAGGTCGCCGCGCCACGGCAAAAAGCGCCGCGCAACGGCAGACACCACCGTGGCACGAAAATTCTATTTTATGCTCAATGCTCGTGTTGCGCGTGTCTTTGAGGGGGACGTACCTTGTGGTGGGCGCGCGCAATCCCCCTGGTGCGTGCGCACCACAGGCTCTTTGATCCAAAATTTTCATTTTGTATAAATAGGCCTTAGCTTTGCTATTTTGAAAAGAATCTTTAGAATCCATTATAGATCATCATAATTAGGCTTAGGAGGAGAGTTTCTCTCTCTAAGATTAGCTTAGATTAGAATAGTTTTAAGAGAGAAAGTAAGGATTATTCAATGAGAGATTGAAAATGATGAAGATGCAAGAGTGACAATTGTATTGGAAGCTTCAAACATCAATCAATGAGCATTTCCTACCTTCTCTTCTCTATCTTTATTGCTTTATTTTGATTTTGCTTTGTTGATTGCTTGTTAATCATGCTTTTATTTGTTAATTTGTTGATTAGCTTGTTGATTGCCATGATTGGTGAGTAGTTTCTTTTGCTAAGGTTTTGGGGATGGTATAATTAAAACTTGTGCATGTTTTAGCTGTAGGATTTGGTTTGATCATGATTAAAGTCTTTGTATGTTTGATGTTCTTCAGTTTGCTTGCAAAATGCATGTTGTTTGTGAATTGAAGGTGAATTGATGCTTGATGATGCAATAGCGGACCTAGCTAGATTCATTGTTGTCGATTGTGCTTGATTGTACCTTCTAGAATATGGTTCTAGTGCGATAGCATAGAGGCTATGTTAGGAGAAACCTTTTGACCCTAATAGGTGGTTAGATTGGACCTTAATTCGGCATTCAAATATACTTAGTTTGTGATCATTCCAATTCTATACTTATGCATGTTTGAGTGAAGCTTATACCTACCCATCTCCTTAGCGTTTTAGCTTTTGTCTTAGTATAGTGTAGTCTTGTAGTATTAGTTGTCATTTCTTATCTCTTTTCGGCCTAGCTTAGTTGTTGGTGAGGGTTGTGGTGATTAGACGTTCCCCGTGGATCGACCCTTGACTTACCACTAGACTTGTGTTTAGTGTTTAAGTTTAGATTTATAAATTTTTGTTTGACCGAAGGTGTCTTAGAATCCAACGACCTAAAATATCCCTTATCACACTGTAACCATAAAAAATTACAAAATTTATTCAGTGTTATATGAATTTACCAGTTAGCCCTCCCATATGGCTATATATATCCCAAATAAATAGTTGCTATGCGCCTAGTTGTACTTTTTTTTTTCTCTGTCACATTAAGAAAGAAAGTGAAATTGGAATTGCTAATTATTACTTGCACTTAATCACCAGCCATTTAATCAAATTTTTCTGTTAGTATAATATATTTTTTACTCTGTACTTCATACTATGTACTCATATATTATCTTTATTATATAAGCCAAGGGGAATGGAGAGTTAAAAGTTGGTGTTTAACTTTTAAACTACTTGAATTGCCCCTTAAACTTAATTAATGTCAATGAATATTCCAATGAAAGATTAAATCAAGCTATAATAGGAAAATTTCTAAAGTAGTAAAAATTAATACACTAAATTGGAAAAAAAATACGGAGGACCATTATTGGAAAAAAAAAAAAATCAAGTAAAATGGCAGACTTAAATTAAAAAGTACAAAATTTGACATTAGTAATAACAATCTCTATTTAGAATTTCCTCAAAAAAAAACTCTATTTAGAATGTATTACTTACCTTTAAATTGTGTACGTAAATAAATAAAATTATTATCATATCTTTATATAATTTTCAGGCAAATATCTAATTTCATTTGCATTAGAATATATGAAAATTTAATATGAAGATATCTATTATGAACGAAGATAGTATAAACTACATGCATTCCCTTTTACATCTAACACCAGTTCAATTTTTTCCCTTTTGTTTTTAATTTTGCTTCCCTCCCATTTTACTAACTTTAATTTCTCTTATGCCCCAAATAATTTTTTTTTTATTTTTTTATTTTTTTTTTTACACTAACTATGCTTTATATACTAGACTAGATACATTCACGACCGGCCCTTAAAAGTCATGTCAAAATTACAAATATATATCTAAGCTTTCGTACATTAACCCCACACACATCGCCGTGCACATAAGTTTAGTAATTCAGTAACTTAAGCCAAAAATGAGACCCTTTAGTATTTGGGCTCTTCATAAGCGCATAGGTTGCACCGGCCCGGCTTGAGATCCAATAGAATACATGCTAAAAAAAAAGAGTACCCATGTAAGTTTATGAACCCGTGCACCGTGCTGAGATAAGCATTACTCAATTTATATCTATATCAATGTATAGCAAGTAATGACACAAAATATAACCAATGTACGTACAAAAAGCTATAATGGCTTGTTTTAGTACTTTGTATTAAACATTCTTTAGTTTTCCTCCATTAATTAAACAATTTGACTCCAAAACATCTGAATTTACTTCAGAAACTACCTCTAAAATCTGATCAAGTGATCTGTGATCACTTAATACAGACGTATGTGACACCCCATTTATGTTAATGATCTTTAATGGTTGATTTTTCTCATTCATCCATTCAGATTGAACTGCTAGCAAGCTCAACAAATTTACTGTTCCATCCCCATCACCCCATATAATAGAAGGTTGCTTATCAAAACCCTTGTCATCGTAGAACAAAGTCTCCGGCGTATCAACTCCGCTTCCAATTATGCAAGTGATTGGTACCTTAGGGGCTGTTAATTTTTCAACCATGGGTAGAACTCGAGTTTTATAGGGATATACACCTTGCGAAAATCCAATATCGGCAAGAAATTTTGGTATGTCCTTTGCAGTGTAATTAGCATTTGGGGTGATCACTAGGGACTTTGAATGTCCAAATATTCTAGGACACGGCATGAGCCATAAGTTACTTTCGGAGCTTCTTTGTTCTTCCCTTACTAACAATGGCTTGACTAACGGGACTCCTAGGGTGTACCCTGACGCGAAGGTGAGCATTTCTTGAATAGTTCCACCCCACGGCGTTGATAGTGCAATGAAGTGCTTGATGTATTTCTCTCGCCAAGATAGGGTGTTACGTAAAAGAAGTTGGTGGACAAATAGGCCTCCTAAACTGTGGGATATAATTACCACTGGTTTTCCTCCATTCACTGCACTAGCATTTTCAATGAGATCTTTGAGGTCTTGAAGGTATTTGGATCCGACATGGCATGAACGGCCTTCTGGGGCTAAGCCATAACGAAAATCATATGAAGCTCCAAAGAGGGTTTTGCTTTCTATGTATCCAATTTCTTCCAATGATTCTACAAGAGGTGCCATGTATCCTGAGATCAGCCTGTTCATGATAGAATAACATGAGTTAATAAGGCAATTACTTAAGCTATAAACATGTAGTTGTGATTTATAGTGGCCTATGCTGAAACGAAAACTGTATACTAAGATATGGGAACATGGCAAGTTCATCCTCTTTTGTCTATCCCACAAAAATCTTGTGTACATTAAAAATGCTTCAAACGAATTACAGGGTATAGATATAGAAATAAAGAATAGAATATCATGCAGGAGATCAGACTCGAGAACATTATATCGAAAATATAACACAAATTATTCTAACTAACTAGTTTTACCAGCTCACTTATGGACTTCCTCCTCTTCTACTCTATGAACTTTACTTAAGTCTGAAAAATGTTTATTAGGAGAAAGATAAATAATTTCTACTAGGACCTTAAATCCGAATCTGCTAAGCAATGCCCTCTAATCTAACAGCTAAGTGAGTATGAGAAACAAAATCCTTATCCAACCTTAAAGCTCAGTCTAGATAGCCAAGATAGGAGTATTATTTGACACGGCCAGCAAGAAGGCATTTGAATGTTGATCTACAATAGCTTGGTTCTTAATTCAAATCACCACTCCAGTTGTAGTCTGAAATTCCAAATCATAGGTTAACAAGGCAATATAGTCGGAATCATGAGGCATCCTGTCCTGCAAGCAGAGGTATCCTCAGAAATTTTCCCATGGTTCGACTAAAGATGTGCATAACATTGCAATTTTTTAATAAAGGGGACTTCTGCCTAAAATTTGCAAATAAAGTTGTGCATAACATTGCAATTTGTTAATAAAGGGGACTTCTGCCTAAAATTTGCGAATAAAGTTGTGCATACCATTGCAAATAAAGTTATGCATAACATTGCAGATAAAACTTTGCAGTACCAAAAGCTCTTCTAAAATTGGTGACAAATTAAGGCTAAATGAGTGAAGGCAGATTAGATAGAATAGGATATCTATCCTTAAAATGGCACCACACCCTTATACATCGATCTGAGGTACGCTCCTTGCATTTATTCTCAATGACATTTTGTGTCTTTTCTTTATTTCATTATCGTTTTCATTTAATGTTTTATTTAGTTGTTCCGTAACCTAGATTTGCTATTCAATCCCGCTTGACGAAATTTAGTATAAACACAAGTCATTAACAATGTTGTCACCTTACTCTTAAATTAACGCATAAATAAGGTTGTCCTAAATCATCTTACAACATACTTTCCATCAAACACAAACTTAGCTAATCCATCTAATTAAATAACATACATAAATCAATTAATCAAATATTGAAAGAAAGAATTAAGCAACTTACTTAAGGTTGGGATCAAGGTAAGAAAGGGACTGAGTAGAACCAAAGTGCGGGACTCTAGTTTCAACGCCAGGAGCATTGAAGTAATCATCAGAAACAGGGTCATAATGTAACATCATCCTCTCAGCAAAACACTTTGTATAAGGAGCAAGAAGAACACTCGCATCGAACCATATTCGATACCAACCATCTTTATCTTTGTGCAAAGGCCCTGGATATGCCCTGCAAATAAGGCTCGATGGCTTGTATTTTGCCGTCAGCCGAGCTTCTAGCTGGTTGCCACCACTCCCAGGGACTAGAACTATTGGGTGAAGGCTGCTGCTGATTGGTATGCAGAGTATGTGTAACATTATAGTAATAATTATGGCATAGTAGTTGACGTTTGTTAAGGTGATGAAGGATGTTGAAAAATACGAATACTTCATTTGCTGTAATGAACTGAGGTGTAGTTTATGTTTCAGATAGCTTTACCAAAGTAGTGTCGTGGGAGGGTAATGTGTGGCAGAGAATGTGTAGACGTACCTAAGCTGGTTGTTATTGTTACGCTTTAGTGGTATTGGCTACGTGGGCTTGAGTCCATGTAATGTTTACCAATTTTGCAAAACTAGTCTCAATAAGTTTTGTAAAAGACCGGTGTACGTTGATTTTATTATAAAACGGTTAGTTCGAAGGTAATTTTAACTATTTTTAGGGTAATTTTAATCCATAAAGGGTAACTTTTAATTTGTCGTTGATTTGAATTTTATTTCATTGTGCAATTTCTTATACATTCATGATTACATAATATAAAGACTAATATGAATAATTTAATACATTATAAGTTTTTTGTAAGATAAACTTTATTATTAAAAAAAATAATAACTTTTGTAGTATAAAGGGTAACTTTAAATACATTTAAGATAACTTTAATTCGTCTCACAATAAATTAATATACACCCGCCTTTTTGGAAAATTTGTGAACTAATCCAACTTGATTGATTGGACTTACGGAGTGCAAGAATAATCTCTATTATACTCCCTCCGTCCCAATATATAGTTCTTGTTTGTGTTTTTTCACAGTATTTAAGAAATGTGAGGCAAAAATGAATGAAGTACATAAAAAAGGTGAAAAGTACAATTATAGATAAAAGTTTAAGAGGAGAAAGTGAATGAAGTACATAAAGTACAATTATAGACAAGAGTTAAAGAGAGAAAGTGGAAAATAGTACAAGGTAAGTGGAAAATTCAAGGGTAATTTAGGATATGCAATGAATAAAGTTAAAAAAATGAGGATATAATAGTCTTTACATACTATCCAAAAATAAAAATAGGAACAATACTTTAGGTTTTCAAAATAGGAAACAGAAACTATATTATCGGACGGAGGGAGTATAAGGGAATAGAAGGTAGCGATGTTCCCCTATTAATAAAATAATACCCACCGTGGCTTAATATGCTGATTATAACTATTGGCAAATCAATCACAATTGACAAGCTAAAAATAAGGCTCTAAGTTTTCAAACTACTGTCATCAATAAAAGGATTTCAATTAAGAAGCCACAAGTAAGAAATTGTAATTATGAAATCATGATAATTGAGATGATTTGATTGAGGACAATTGAGGAATTACTATAATTTTCTTCCTCTTTATTCTTGCAAGTAATAACAAATAAGAGATATTGGTTACATTCTATTCAACTTATTTAAATTGATATTTGTTTATTTCAGAAATAATCTAATTAGATCAGACTAGACCAAATTAAATTAGATCTTATTTTATTTATTTATTATGAAATATCTTTAATTTTATAATAAAAAAATGAAAATTTCATATTCGAGAAGTGCACATTTAATACAAATATGATATCCTGTGATTAACTATTTCCCCCCAAACCTATTACTATTAACTACTCCCTCCTTATTTTATTGCTTGCTCCACTTTTCTTTTGCGGTCGTATTTTATTACTTGTTCCATTTTCTATTTTGGAAATATTTCACAACATTTTACTAATTTCTTCATTCTTAGTGGAACCCTAACTATCATACTTTAATGTTTCCACATTCTCTCTCCTCCCAACTATCTTACTTTATTCTTCCACCAACCACACTTCTGTCATATTTTATTACTTTCTATTATTTCTTTTAAAACTCCGTGCATGGAGAAATGGAACAAGTAATTAAATACAAAGAGAGTATAACTTATTAAATCAACTAGATAATGCTCGAGCCATGTTTGATTTTTAAATTCAATGGTAGTTGAAATATAGAATTCAACAAAAAAATTTTACTTAGTATTTAATCAATATAATATGTATTAACTAATGAAATTCATATGTATATAAATGGTTATACGAATAATAAAATAAAATTAACGTTTAGTAGGGAAAATTCCCTTCAGAAAACTATATTTAAATATAAATATAGATATGTACATTTATCATTTTTAAGTTTGGACCTCCCTCGAAAGAAAGGGCAAACTCGCTTGAGAAAATGGCCGACTCTAACACACAACGAGCGCGGTATTTCTCCAGAAATTATGGCCGATGAATGATCGAAAGTACTTAAACCTAAACATAGAGAAGGAGGAAGGAGAAATAGTTCATTTTGGGGTGGGTGATACTTTTGAACAGGATGCTAGGGTTTCTCTTATGCTTGTTGGGAAATTATTGATGGACAGGGGTGTGAATGTAAAGGCTTTCAAAAGAACTATTACTCAATCTTGGGAAATGATGGGGAGGGTTGTGATCAAAGGAATTGGGGTAAACTTATTTGTTTTTCAATTCTTCCATTAATGAGACAAGGAGAAGGTATTGGCAAAAAGTCCTTGGTGTTTCAAGAAGAATCTTCTGCTCCTTAACATTAGTAATGGCAATGAACAACTGAACGAGGTGAAACTCACACACACTCCTTTTTGGATTCGACTCGAAAACTTGCCGTTTGATTGTTGATGCTGATGTAAAACCTATTGTGGGAAATTTAGGAGAATTGATTGAAATTGAGAAAGATACTCTAGGAGTTAGGGAAAAATAGGAGAGTTAAAGTGATAATGGATGTTCTTAAACCTTTGTAGGTTTCAAAACTTGAAAAATAGTGACAAGAATGCTGTTAAAATCAATTTAAAGTATGAACGCCTTCCCTTCTTTTGTTTTTTGTGTGGAGTAATGGTTCATAGTGAGAAGTGATAGGCTAGTCGCGTACCTCTAAAAAATAAACCTAACTAGACCACTAATAACTATGTAGGCTGAAAAGTAAGGGTTAGATCCCAAGAGACTATGATTTAACTAATTATAATGACTCAAGAAATTACTAAGCAAGAAACCAATTCAAATAATGATAATTCTAATTTAAATAACTAGATAGAGAAATTAATATGAATAATAAAATAAATCAACTTATAAAAGCATCCAAGATCAAGCATCACCATGAATATAATCAATGCACAGTCGTTTACCCCTAACATATAAATCAATCAACATGAGGAAAAGTAATCCCTAAATAATACAGAAGGCCTGTCTCAAGTTATTGATGGACTCTCTGTTGGGTTTCGTAGCGTCCAACGCTACGCGGAAGAGAAACCCGCCCAAGACCCGCCCCAATAATTAAAGCAATAAAACATGCATAAACATATTAAATAATAATTAAGAAAAGGGATAAAGATGTAATACCCTTGAAGCGTGCTTCGCTCGTGAACCGAGCTCTTACTTCGAAGCTTAAAGCCTCACAAGCGTGACGACCTCCAACGGCTCGTACCCATGACCTGACCCGAACGATCTTCGCCTCGAGGGTTAGTCGAGACTTGACCAAGTATAAAACTAGAGTTTTACGAACTTAAAGGTTTTCTCAATAATAAGAGATGCCTTTTTGAGTTCCACTCAAGTTGATTTCCAAATGCCCAATCATGGGGTATTTATAGGGAAATGTAACTTGCACTTCCCATTCATGATCAATGTGGGATAGTTGCATTTTCTACTAATTTATTTAAATAAAAAATAAATTATAAAACAATGCAATCAACAATCAACAAGTGGCACGGGGAGAGGAGAGGTTAGGTGAAGAGCATAACCATGGGGGGGGGGACAATTGCCTTGCTCCCCAAGGCATGGCTCTAAGCCTTGGTCCCCACTTTCCTCAAACCGGCATTAAGAAAGGGGTCAGCTGGCTGCCAGCCTTGCTGGCCATCATGCACTGCCAGCCTAGCACAGCTAGCACGCACAGCCAGCACGCCTAGCACATGCGTGCTGCTAGCGAGTCACACATGCTACTGGCTGCTGGGCGCTGGGCGAGGCCTCGCTGCTTGCTGCCTAGGCGAGGCTCCTAGCTCGTTGTGCTTGGTGCTGCCATGCGAAGGCACGCACGCAAGCACGCAGCTATGCGAAGGCATGCACTCACATGCACACGCAAGCACCCAGCTCGCTACTACTGCTTGGTGCTGCCATGCGAAGGCACGCACGCAAGCACCTAGCAACGCGAGGCATGCTGTGCTAGCGATGCACACACACATGCCAGCGCCTAGTGCTAGAGATGGTGTGCTGTGCGCCTAGCTGTGCGAGGCCTTGCGATAGCACCTCGGCACGCAAGCTCGAATGCTGCGGTGGTGCTGTGCCATGCGAAGGTACGCACACATGCAAGCACGCTGCTGCTAGCGATGGTGCGCCTAGCACGTGGTGCGTCTAGGCTTGCGCCTAGCCATGCAAAGTGCATGCTAGCTCGAGCTAGCCTAGCGTCCACATGGCTAGGCCATTGTGATGCTACGGCTACGCTAGAACTTGTTGCTTGTTGATTTTGCGATGCTCGGTCTCGACGCCCTAGGCTCGATATCCAACGTCTGTGTTCGTAATACTCTAGTGACTCATCAAATCCTTGGAATTAATTCGTCGGTTTGGATCGACAATTCGTTTTGGGTTTGATCCGAAGGATTAAGTCAAGACAAAGCTGTAATATTAATTATTCACTAATATTACAAATCGGAAGCGGCCTCCACCCAGGCATTCCGATCACTTGATCTCACTGAAGAATTAGCTTCCCGATAATTCTGAACCTCTATCAGAATAATACACTTGTTGGAAGGACACCATTCCTTTCAATCTCCCACTTGTCCTTCCGGATAAGTGTGCATATAGTGTATAGCCCAATTCCTATGTCGCTTAATGTCTCTTCATGAACTATAAGGTAAGAATCTTCGTCATCCTTATTATGTCTAGAAGTGTTTCCTGATCTTCGAGTTCGACTGTCAATAAGCAGACAATTTTTAAAATCTATCTTTGCACGGCCATGCATTTTCACAGTCTCCCTCTTCGAGCGGCCTTGTAAACAACAAAGACATATTCCCTATTGTTAATAGGGGGACATTCCCTGTGTTGTACAGTAAGCCTCTATTACTAAGAGGACCTAATCTCTTGAGTGTTCCCGTTATAATCCCCAGTTACGGCGGACGTTTGTCAACATCAAAGAGACTAGTACTCAAACAAGAGAATTTCACAATACTCATGGTCAAGGAAATAGGTTCCGATAGCTATAATGAGAAATGTACTTATGACGTTCTTAAATCTCTTAAAATACTCTCATAGGTCGATCCGGTGCAGTTCCAAACTAGCAACTGTGCAAATGATTTATGACT